GAGACACACTCCTCATGAGTATCATTTTATGTCCCACAGTCCAGTCCAATCCCTGTCTGAAGAGTTGGTCTCAGAAATTGTTTTATTTCTGGGCTGATAGAGAATCCAGGGGCCATGCTTTCCAGGGTTCCTCCAGTCTCAGTCAGGCCATTAAGTCTGGTCTTCTTACTAGAATTTGAGTTTTGCACCCCACTTTTCTCCTGCTACATCAGGGACTCTGTGTTGTGTTCCCTGTCAGGGCGGTTACTGGTGGTAGCTGGGCACCATCTAGTTCTTCTGATCTCAGGCTGATGAAGTCTCTGGTTTATGTGGCCCTTTCTGTCTCTTGGGCTAATACTTTCCTTGTGTCTTTGGTGTTTTTCATTCTCTAGAAGGACTATCTTGACATTCCCCACACTACTGGACTTTGAGAAATTTCACTGAGGTGGAAACTGCCTGAATTTTTGTGGGATTAATTTCCTACCTTCTAGCACTCAAAATGTTTCCCCAATAAGTCCAGAATCATTAATGCTTCTTCCTTTCTAGGTCCAATTAGTATAATGTCATCAGTGTAATGGACCAGTGTGAAGTTTTGTGGAAGGGAAAGGTGATCAAGGTCCTTGCGGACTAAATTATGACACATGGCTGCAAAGTTGATATATCCTTGAGGTAGGACAGTGAAGGTGTATTGCTGACTTTACTAGCTGAAGGTAAACTGCTTCTGCTGTTCCTTCTAAACCAGAATAGAGAAAAAGACATTGGCCAGCTCAATAGCTGCATACCAAGTACCAGGATATGTATTAATTTGCTCAAGCAATGAAACCACATGTGGAACAGCAACTGCAATTCGAGTCACTGCCTCGTTAAGTTTACAATAATCCACGGTCATTCTCCAAGATCCATCTGCTTTTTGCACAGGTCAAATAGGTGAGTTAAATGTGAATGTGGTGGGAATCACCACCCCTGCATCCTTCAAGTCCTTGATGGTGGCAGTAATCTCTGCAATCCCTCCAGCAATGCAGTTTACTATTTTCCTAGGTAGGGGCAGTTCTAGTGGCTTCCACTTGGCTTTTCCTACCATAACAGTCCTTACTCTACTTGTCAGGGATCCAATGTGGGCGTTCCACCAGTTGCTAAGTATATCTATTCTAATTATGCATTCTGAAACTGGGGAAACCACTATAGGATGGTTTTGGGGACCCACTGGACCCACTGTGAAATGAACCTGAGCTAAGACGCCATTAATAACCTGACTTCCAAACACCCCCACTCTGACTGGTGGGCCACAGTGACATTTGGGTCTTCTGAAATTAGTGTCAGTTCAGAGGCCATATCCAGTAATCCCTAAAAAGTCTGATTATTTCTTTTTCCCCAATGAACACTCACTCTCATAAAAGACCGTAGATTCCTTTGGTGAAGACAGGGAGAAAGATTAACTTTGGTGAAGACGAGGAGAAGATGGGGAGTGTAGTGGGGTCCTTCCTCAAGGGGTCCTGGCCTCTCCTTCATTCAAGGGATTGTGGGTCTGTAAACTGGCTAAAGTCTGGGAATTGATAGAGGGGCCATGACTCTCTATTTTGGTGATTCAAGTTAGACTGCCATTCACTTGATCTAGAATTCTTCCACCTGTACAGATCAAATAAACATTTAGTAGATTTCCTATCTATTTCACACCTGGGGACACCATGACTAAGTAGTCAATGCCATAAATCCATACAAGTCAGACTATTCTGATTACTGCTTTTACTCTGTTGTCCATTATGGTGATCATGTCCACCTTGTTTTTGTAGATTGAGTGCTGCCACTTCGCCCCAACCACCATGGGGTACAATCAGCCTCATTGTAGTTAGATGTCTTAATTCAGCTAGGGCAGTACCCACTGTCAAATCTGACTTACATAAAATAGCAATGACAGCAGTCTTCAAGGATGCTGGGGCTACCTTCACAAAATTGTTCCTCATTGTTGTGGTGAAAGGTGTGTCCTCTGGGCAGTCTATGTGTCAGTGTGGGTCTAATCTGATAAGTCCACTCTAGTGTGCCAATTTCCTTGTCTTTGGCTATCTTCTTCTACACTATACCAAGGCAGGTCTGGTGCTTCAACTTGATTTAGTGTAGGCCACCGCGTAATCCATGCTTCAGTGACCCAACCAAATAAACTATTAGATCTTTTCCTAACTTCTTGAGCTGAAACACTGAATGAAGAATCTGTGCTTAGTGGGCCCCTATCAATAAAATCAGACGGATACAACTTTATATTCCTTGCACCATTATACCACACTCTTAATAGGCATTCCCACACATATTCCCCAGGTTTCTGTTTGTACATATTAGAAGACTCAAGCAGTTCTCTTGGTGTGTAGCGTATCTCCTCCTGGGTCACACTTTGTATTTCACCTTTTGGAGCTCACTGGGACTTAAGTCTAGTTATAGGTCTAGAAGCAAAAATGGGTGGTGGAGTGGGTCCTGGGAACATTCAGCAATGTCTTGTAAGGCATCTATCCCAGGCGATGCCCCAAGCAATGACTTACAGGTGATAACTCAGACCCCGCCCCAGGCTATATCTCAGACAAAGGCTCTTCAAACACAGTTGGGTCAATCTCATTAGGTGGGAGTGGAGGGGATAATGGTCTTACTGGGGAGGGTGGCTTAGCAGACAAAGATGGAATAATCTTTTCAGATGGGAGTAAGAGGGCTGGTTCTCTTTGCAGGAGTGAATCAACTGAATTTAGAGGCTCAGTTGTCCCCAGCTTCCTGATTATCTGCCCATATGTCCCCATCCCAAGTTTCAGTATCCCTTTTCTTCCCAGTCAATGACCTTGCTTTAACTTCAGATACCATTCAAGGTTAGGAATTCAGTTGGCGTTGTAATTCAGCCACTCTTACAAAAAGACTCTGGGTTTTGTTTTCAGCAATCTCAGCTCTGTTACTACAAGAAAAAGCACTTTCCTCAGGGCACAAGTGACAACTATGAGGTCTTTTATGTGGTGCTTGAGCTGTAACTCTGAAGCCCGAAGCTCATCTCTTTCTCTGACACTTTGTCTAGCGAAAGTAGAACCAACCAACCAGCGTCTCTATACTTCTCATTCTGAAAAAAATTTTAGAAAAGTGTCAAACATGCAATCACCTAGAGCCTTGCTTCTCACCAATACTTGATCTATTGGTGGTGATATTTTGCCATTAATATTGCCACCTTATGCCATGGATTAGAAGTGCCCTTTTTACTTCTAGAGGCAGAGGCATCAGTACATTTAAGACTAGCCAGACTTGAGAACCAATTCAAAAAACTTATTCTTACGATTTTGTTTCTCTAGAACCACTCTCAGTACCAAATGTCTTAGGCTGGGTTCTCTAGAGAAGCAAAACCAGTGAAGTGCATACAGTCGGCCCTCCGTATCCATGAGTTCCATATCTGCAGATTCAACCAACTGCAGATGGAAAATATTTGGGAAAAAAAAAAAAGGAAATTTCCAAAAAGCAAAACTTGAGTTTGCTGCTTGCTGAGCACTATGCTGAATCCATGCGAATGAAGCAATGCGTAGGCATCCCCTGCTGTAGCCTCCCGACATTTCACAGATCCTCAGTCTCTCTCCTGCACTCATTGTTTGAGCATTATTTGCCTCGTGTCTCGTTCATTTGCTACTTGTGTGCAACCTTTGTTTCTGCGGAAAAATGGCTCCTAAAAAGCAATTAAGTGGTCAAAGCAATCCCTCAAAGGCTAAGTGTGAGGGGGTTGAGGAGAGTGAGAGGAAGGAGTTTAAGGTTAGTAAGGGACGGCTGGCTAGCTATGTAAAGCACTACAGCCTCAAGAATTTAAAGATCAGGGGAGACTCAGCATCAGCTGACACTGAGGCAGCATCAACGTTTCCAGAAGAGCTCAAGAAACTCAGAGAAGAGAAAGGCTCCCTTTCAGAGCAAGTCTTCAATTGTGATGAAACAACTATTAATATAGCATTTACCTTGTATTAGGTGTTACAAGTAATCTAGAGATGACTTAAAGTATATGGGAGGATGTACACAGGTTATATGCAAATATTATGTCATGTTATATAAGAGAATTGAGCATCCATGGATCCAAGCCCCCACAGATACTGAGAGACAACCATAAATACATAGAGAGATTTATCTCAAGGAAATGGCTCATGCCATTTCATGTAGACACTGGCAAGTCCCAAGTTCGTGGGTCAGGCATCAAGCTGGAGGCTTCTCCTGACTCAGGCAGTTGTAGGGGCTGGCAAACCCAAGATCAGCAGGTGAGACAGCAGGCCAGTGGCTCAAGTCCCAAGAACCGGACATCAGATGATGATGAACTGGTTGCAGGGTCCAGAGCAAGCGAGCGAGCTTTGCCGGAACATCCATATATATATTGGATGCAGGCCACACCCCTGAGGAAACTCCCCTTACAATTGATTGGCTGATCACACCAGATGACATCATGGAGAATGACTGCATCATTACATAACTGCCAAATTACATCATTACATAACTGCCAAACTACATCATTACATAACTGTGAAACCACTGAGAATCATGGCCTAGCCAAGTTGACACATAACCATCACACCCAGGATACCTGTTCTGGAGTCTTGTCTGCAAAGATCAGGTAGGATCCACCTGCAGACTCATCTGGATAATCAGGAAACCGGCCAATAAGGGCACTAAGTGGACATAAAATGGTTAGATAAGATGGGTGGTTAGATAGGTAAATGGGTGGACAGCTGAATGGGTGACTGGACAGGTGAATGGGTGGTTGGACAGATGGATGAGTGGTTGGACAGGTGAATGGGTGGTTGGATAGGTGGGTAAGTGGTTGGAAAGATGGATGAGCAATTGGACAGGTAAAATGGGTGGTTGGACAGATGGATTGGAGGTTGGACAGGTGGATGAGTGGTTGGACAGACAGGTGGACAGATGGATGGGTAGCTGGGCAGGTAGGTAGAAGGGTAGGTGGATGGATGGATAGAAGGATAAAAGGAGCACAGAGATAGAGGAAGAGAGAGAAGGAATGTATAGTTACAGAATAGAAAAGACAGGTTGCTTATGGGGCAATTCATGGATTTTCTGTTCTGGTATTTTCTCTTCCATACAGGGAAATGGGGATGGAAAAGGGTACTGTGAGTTGGGGGCCAAGGTTTAAGCCAAGAGTGTCAGCAGCGTGTTGGGGGGATGGGGGTGGAGAAAAGGGCCCCGTCTGAACTAGAGAACAGAACAGTGTGGGGAGAGGGCAGAAGAAGCCTACGGGGGGGACACCGGGGTAAGGAAGAAGAGGGATTTCAGGGCCGGGTGGCCTGTGGCTGGGGACACTGACTGGCACTCAATAAACCACTGTCGAATTTGCTCCTTCATCTTTTCCTTCATGTCGGGCCCCTCGATCTCTATGAGAGAATCATGAGTTTGCGTCATGGCCAACTGGAACTCCTCTTCTTTCTCCATCTGGCGCAGCCTCCGGACATCCTCCCTGAGGCAGGCCTGGGACAGGATGCCCACTTGCTCTGTCTTGTTGGGTGAGGGGAGCTGGGGAAAGGGAGAGAGGGCCTCAGAAGCGGGGGAGGGAGGACCCCATTCTTCGGGGCACACACCTGCCGTTAAGCCTTCCCACCACTGCACGCACTCCTAAATGGAACAACGGGTGAGCCTGTATCAGGAAAAATTGCGTTTGGAGCCGAGACCCGTCTGTGTAAATTACTCCGATAATGAGTTTGCTCGATGCATCTGGGCTGCCCCCTGCCTGCTCCCCCGCACACCCTCCCCTGTGAGCCTCAGGCCCAGCCCCCACCCGCACCCTCGCCGCCGGGCCGCGTAGGCAGCCGTGCTAGCAGCCACTTTCCCGCCTCATTGGCTCCCAAATGTATTTTAAATATCACTCGGCGCAGACAATTACTGAAAACGCTGAGCTCACACTGCTGATGGGCCCAGGCGGCCAGCTCCCTCCTCACCCACCGCGGGTACTCAGGTTCGGCCCCCTCAACCCATGCAGAGCTGCCCCCTCCCCCGCCCCAGCCTCCTACACAAGCTTCCAAGCCTCCCAAAGCAACAACCTAGGCCCTGCCAAGATGTCACCGGCTCAGCCCTGGCTGCTGCCAGCCCTCGGGAAGTGCCTTTCCCTCCAATCCCTCTGGCTCCCTGCAGGCTGGCCCACCTAGCCCAGCTCCCTTCATCAGCCAGCTCACTCCAGGGTCTGCCCGGTGGGATTGGACCCTCAGTCCCGTCATGGCCTTTGCTTCCCAGGTCTGCAGAGAACCCTCAGCAAGCAGAGAGGACAGGTAAGAGCCAGGGGAGGGGCCTGCGCACCACACACATGCACATACATGTAGACACGCACACACAACAGGCACACACGTAGACATGCACACACCACACATGCACACACACATGTAGACACGCACACGTACACACACCACACACACGTAGACACACTACACACATGCACACACATGTAGACACACACACCACATGTGCACACACGTAGACATGCACACACCACACGCACACACATATGTAGACATGCACACACCACACACAGGTAGACACAGGCACACCCCCACATGTACACACACATGTAGATGCACACCACACACATGCACACAGACACGCACACACCACGTGTACACATGTCAACATGCACACACCACACGTGCACAGGCATATGCAAGTCATGAACCTGTGTGTGCACACACACTCACATATATCACACACATGCACACATGAGCCCACACGTACACACCACATGTGTGTATGCACACTCACATATGCATATACATGCACACACCACACACGTACACATGCACACACATGTGTGCACATCGGGGTCTCTGCACCTCTTATGACCCACATGGCTCCACAAACACTCACATCACATCACGGGCGTTCAGAGCACTGGGCCATCCTCCCACCGGGCAGACGAGAAGTATTTTGGGTACCCCAAAGCAGGGAAGCCTGTGGCCGGAAAAGCCCTGGTGTAGGGGGTAGCTCCACAGCTCGGCCTGGGTGGTTGTCCCAGAGGCTGGCCCTGAGGCCTTGTCCCTCTGCTGGGCCACCCTGTGGCCTCTCTTTCCAGGCAAGGGCACAGGTGGGGTCCAGGCCAATGCCCTGTGCTGTTACCCCTCCTTGCCCCTTCCTCCATTTTGAGATCCTCCCAGGGACTTAAGGAGAGGGAGGGGGCATAAAGGGATGAGGCTTAAAAGTGGCTGTTCTGACCCTCCCCACTTCTGAATCAAACTTTGAAAGGCTCCCCCACCAGAGCCCCCACCCTCCTGACTCCCCCTCCATACCGACTCCCACCATGTCCCTAGTGGAGGGTGGAGTGGGCAGTGTGGGCTGTGTGTGGAGGGTGCGAAGGGGCCCTCACCATGCCGATGAACTCCATCTCCACCTGCCGGTCCTGCTGGGTGCGCTTCCTCTGCAGGTAGCCTTTCCACACCTGGGGGAGAGCAGGGCTCAGGGAGGGGCTCATGGGCAGCCATCCTGGAAGGCTTCGAGGGCAGTGGGGCAGCACTGGAGGGGGGATTCTGGGCTCTCTCCAGCAGGAGCAGGATGTTATGGGGTGTGCCCACAGAAACTCTCTGCCCCTGCTCTCCACCTGCTAATCTTTTGTATCAGAGTGCGAGCAGCCCCTCTTCCCAGAAGTGCTGCAATAGCCCCCTTCTCAGAATGCTATGGCCTTGGGAACAAATATTTGATTCCACAAAGGGATATAGACCTCAGCACTGCAGGGGCTGTGGCAACTCCTAGTTAATGCCTACATTTGTCACACGAGGAAACTGAGGCCAGAGATGGGGCATTGTCAAGGTGGAGTTGGGGCTGGGATCAGGCTTCCTGACTCCTGACCTCGTACTCTTTCTCTGGCCCGGGTACTCAGACTCTGTACCTCCAGCACTGCTAGGGGAGGGCCAGGCACTGGGCAGAGTCAGGTCAGGCACTCCCCATTCTCATGGGGCTTTCTGCATTGAGGCAGGATGGAGTGTTAAAGGACAGGGGGCCCCAGAAGGCACAAAGCTGGAGTTAGCAAGCTCCACTTAACTCATCATGTTTCCTTTTACCTTGGTCGCCAGGAGGCTTAGGAAACAATGAGTGGCTCATTCTTAGCAGCTTGAAGTGCTTCTGGAATGATCATCTGCTGTGTCCTGCTACACTATTATGCCTCTTTCTTCCCTAATTTTAATGATCCTTCTGTTTCTGGGGCTTTTATGGTACCCTCTCCAAATCCTCTTGGGGATGGAGACGCAGAATAAATAATAAACAAATAAGACGCGTGTTTATGGGCTGATTAAGGCCTCTATCCACAAGGAGTTTGGACTCGAATTGTGGGGAACAGAATCCAGCCCTTGAGCCCTGAGGTGGTTAAGGTTGTGTATCAACTTGGCTGGGCCATGATTCTCAGTAGTTTGGCAGTCATATAATGATGTAATCATCTCCATGATGAGATCTGATGTGATGTGATCACCTCTATGATGGGATCTGCTGTGAGTAGCCAATCAGTTGAAAAGGAGTTTCCTTGGGGGGGTGGCCTGCATCCAATATAGGTGGACTTTCTGGCAAGGCTTGTGGGCTTTTGCTCACTCTGGATCCTGCAGCTGCCTCTGGTTCATCTGACCTCCGGTTCTTGGGACTTGAGCTAGCAGCTTACCTGCCGATCTTGGGATCTGTAGGCCTCCGTAGTTATGTGAGTCAGGAGAAGCCTGACCCACTTACTTGGGACTTTCCAGTCTCTACAACCACATGAGCCATTTCTTTGATATAAATCTCTCTCTCTCTCTATCTGTATATATATAGAGAGAGACATGTCACTGCTTTTGCTTCTCTAGAGAATCCAGCCTAAGACATTCCATCCTAAGACAAGCCCCTTGTGACCGCCGCCCTGGGTGCAGGCTCCTGCAGGAGGCCCCGCCCCAGCTCTCCTCTTGGGTGCCAGGTTACCTTCTGTATGATGACCGATGCCTGGTCCTGAGTGAACTTGCACCTCCCATCCTCCCGGCTCTTTCGATCCAGCTCTTCTTCTTTCCGAATTTCCCTCATGAACTTGGCACGGAGCCGGCCTTGCCGGGCCCGCTCAGCTCTTTGTAGCAGGATTATGGCCTCAGTCCGGTGCATTCCTGGAAAGCTCTGGCCAGAGCAGTGGCAGAGCGCAGAAAGAGATGAGGGCCGGGCTGCTTCGGGGTGGGGCCTAGGAGACCAGCCCACAGGCAGAGCCAGGCGTCTGGCTGCCTACGTACTGCCCCCCGTCTTGGTACTGGAAGGTGCTCATGAGCACAGGAGCAGCCCTGAAGAGGGCCAGGGGTACCCAAAGGGCGCTCTGAGGTGGGTATGGGACAGGGCAGGGCCCCTCAGCATGCTAGAGGGCATCATCTGGGGGGTATGGGAGGAGTCTGGGGGTGTCCCCAGCCCTCACCTCCTCAGAGGACACTGGCTCCATTCTGGACAGGATCTCTGCCAACATCAACCCCCGGTCCTTCAGAATGTTGGCCTGCTCCAACAGGAAGTATTTGGGAATTGGAACCTCTAATTCTGCCTTTGGAGCAATATGGGGGAAGGTAGGTCAGCAATCAAAAGTCAGGGCCATCAGCTGATCCATGGCCATTTTTAGTGGCTCACAGTCTCTGGCACCTAGAACCTAGTCCTGAAGCCTGGAGCCCTGGGTGAGGAGCTCATGGGTTATGGGCGGGTCCCTCCAAAGGTCCCCCCTCTCTTCCCCTGCATTTACCATTTGGCTGGAGTTG